CAAGAAGCAAACTATTGCCAGTCCCAGCCCAGTAACGACGTTTTTGGAGCCATTTGCTCTTAGTTGGACCCTCCATGTCAAGTGTCTCTATTAGCACTTCTTGGACACTGAGAGCCGCTACCATGCATATCGTGTATTTCGATAAATTATGCTGATAAGATAATGCCAGCATCTTGCCGTAACGCGGAGATACCGGAAACGCGGCGATACTGCGTCCAAGCGGCGTCACCTTCGTGCAGTATATCTCTAAACAGTGAATCATCAATTCCTTTAGACAACGTAATGTTTGCATTATAAAAAGAATCAGTGTATTGTTTCATGTAATAATCAATTGCAAAACAATTGCAATCGTAGACTTCAATCTTACGATTATAATTTTCGATGCTATCTGAATGACAATAAATGTCCACATTCGATTACCTTCTTCCTTCTTCGAAGGTGGCTGTAATGCTTCAAGTATCGTTAGTCGTTTTTCTGCAGACTTTAATTGTACAGTATCCGGTGGCGTGGGAAATGGAAAGTTCACGACTTTATCTATATTCATTGCCTTCATCTGCAGCAACAAATCGTCCACTGGTTTCCTCTGAATCTCCGATTGACTGTATTCCTCGAAATCATTGTCGTATACGGCCGATGAGTATAATCTATGCGAAACGATATATATAGAATTTCTAAGACCTAGTTTCGCAATTCACGGTTAACTCTTAACTGAGGTTCAACTTGTTTCTCATCTCTCTCCAATTCTATAATTGGAAAGAGATAATGAATAAATTGAACTTCAGTTAAGAGTTGACTGTGAGTTATGAAACTGAACTAAATCTAGAATTTATTGAAATAAATTTCTAAAGTTGCCCAAATCTGTAAAGTCCAAAGGTTATTATATTAAAGATTTTCGTATGTATAAATTGCAGAATAAGTGTCGAGATACCTATAGCAATGACCAGGTCGAGTTCTACCGGCTCTGCCGGCACGCTGAGTAGCCGCTGCTTTGCTAGCATAGCCAATATGATATGTGCTTACACCTGTCACTTTATCGTACAGTCTAGTTTTACAACGTCCACTATCTACAACATATCTAATATTAGGAATCGTCAGCGAGGTTTCCGCAACATTAGTAGATACCACGCACAAGCGACATCCTTCTGGTGATGGCTCAAACACCTAAAATCATTAAAACAAAAATATTTCATAAAAAAGTCTATTATTTTATTTTATTATAAAGACTTGTTAATATCAAAAGAATCATAGTTTAATTTATTAAACTGTATATTTACTCTGGCTTGTTTGTGCCCGGGTAAGAGAGAATAAAGGGGTAAGACCCACAATGGCTGTGCGTTTGTTAGTCCCTTGAAATCAATCACATCTTCATCCTCATCTTCGTCTTCGTCCCAGTTGTCTTCGTCGTCCTGTACATTGATCAAATCTTCGTGCGTGTCATCAGTAGGACTTATTGAATAACTAAACATAAATATTTTTATGATAAATTTGAGAAACATTATGGAAGAGTAAAATAATTGTAATTTGAATGTACATACTCATCAAGATTAATAGTTGGAAGTATAATCTGCTTCTTTTGTCTCCGTTTATTACGACGCAAGGCTTCCTCAGCGTCGAAATCATCGGAATCGTCTTCGGAATCATCTTTTTCGCTGTGTTCTTTATCCAGTGCTTCTGACGCTTCATTTTTTTCGGAGTCTTTCACCACTTTAATTTGGGGTTGTTTATTCTTTTTTAATGGAAACGATTTGCGTAATTTACGCACAACTGTATGCACCTCTTGCTGACCTGCGACAAATAGTTAAAACTACAGAAATTTGACTGTGATAATTTTTTTATGAAAATAGAGAAGTTTCACAAGGATTTTTTACCCGTTAAAAATATTAATATACCGCCTTCTGGAAGACGAGTATGTATCTTTATTGCTTTTTGCAATGCTTCATTGACATAATCCTTGCTTGTTGTTCTATTAAAATGTATCTTTACAGGAAATTGTCGTGCTTTGACCTCAATTATCGGTGGCTTTATCTTGAACAGCCTGGTATTCTTTACGAATTCTTCCACGGACAGTGTAGCTGACATAATTATCAACTTCAAAGGATTACCGCGTTTGTTACGAAGCGGTACAATTCTTGACAATAAACCAATCAGGATATCAGTATACACGCTGCGTTCGTGTGCTTCATCAAGTATAATCACTGAATATTTTGTTAACAGGAAATCCTACAAATAAAATAAAGACCAATTTGGGTGTAACATGAAATGTAATAATTATATAATAATGATATAATAAGATATGAATTAAATTACAAAAATTTAATTTATTACTCACACTTTGAACCTCTTTCAGTAAAACACCATCGGTCATGAATTTGATTTTCGTTTCCTCCGTAACATTTCCCTCAAAACGAATCAAATATGAAACCTCTTTTTCAGAAAGATTCAGTTCTTCAGCTACACGCTTGCTCATTGACATTGCTGCCACTCTTCTTGGTTCAGTTATTCCGATCAATTTATTTTGAGCGTATCCAGCCTCATATAAAAATTGGGGCACTTGCGTTGTCTTCCCTATGATGGAATTGAATAATTAAAAAGAAAATTAATATAAAAAATTGTTTTTATAGCCCAATATTATCATTATAATTTAAATTAACAGGTTTTGATATCACTACCTATCTATTAATTATAATCTTACACACCACTTCCAGTCTCTCCAGTAATTATAACTATTGGATTCTCATTTATCGTTTCAACTATAACTTGTTCTTCCGCAACGACAGGTAGTTTCAATCTAGCTGCTTGTATCTCAGATTTTCTGTTTACAGGTATAAAAACAGCAGGTGTATGAATTTTGGGAACATTTTGCTGTCGTATTTCCACTGATTGTTTAGATTCCCGTTTGTTGTTTAATTTAGTTGAAATTGTTTCTTTGTTTACATCTTTGGTAAGATTCTTCTCACCTTCTTTTTCATTTATTTCGGTCTTTTCATTTGATACATTAGAAGCAGTATTATCAGGAACATGTTCTTCATTTTCTTCATTGTTACTGTCATCTTCATCACTACTACCACTAGACTGAAAATAAATATTATTTGATTTTATTGTATAATTTTATATTTTTTCATCATAGTTACTTAAAACTTACTTCAAATCCAACTATGTTTGGATCAAGTTTAGCTTCATCTTGTTTTATATTATTTAGAATGGCTAATCTTTTCTTCTTGCTCATTTTAATAGAGTTTATAGTTATCTTTGTCGAATCACTTTCTTCTTCATCATCTGCTTTGCGTTTTAATTTTTCAACTGGTGTCTCAAGCTCTCGAAAATGACGCTTTAAGCCCTTGTTTTGTAAGGATGTCAGACTCACATACTGTTTCAGTTCGGCAGGAGTTGCTTGCACTTTTGCCAGATCTTCCAACAACGCTGCTCTCTGTAAAATAAATATCATATTTTAAGTGAAGGTTTTGTTATGTTTATTTAAAACAAATTTAAAATACCTGTAACTTTTTTTTCTTTCGTTCAACTACTTTTTCTAGTTGTTTTCTACGTTTCTTTGATAACAATCGAGTAGTTGCTACTTTCTTATCTATGTTTTTCGTTTTTCTCTTTTGAGAGGGCAAGACAAGTGCATTGCAACTGTCATAATCCTCGGCGCGATGCTGGATGTCTAATACAATCTGGAACATGTATTTAATATACAATATATTTAAAGCAACAACAAATGATTTTAATAAACATTTTGAGCAATAATAGTATAATCCAAATTACAATCACATGAATATAATAATTTATCTTTTTCATAAAGAAGCGCAAAACAGATATAATAATAGTAAATTTACCTCTTTAGTGGTGGAATTATCAACATTGACATTTGTGACAGCTCTTGACTTCCAATTATAACCTTTTTTCCCCATTGTTAAGAATTGACAAAGTATTTCAATTTAACCTCGAATTTTAATAAAAATACAGTCATTCGTCTTGAAAATTAAAATCTTGAAAAATTAAAGTAATTCCTTTTTAGGTTAAGTTCTTAATTCTTAAGAAACGTGGTTTCTAGGTTGGAACAGAATAAAGCTGGAAACACAATGAAAGCATAGACAATAGAGAATAAGAAAATGCAACCTATCAAAAAGCATCCATTCTAGTATATATAGTTTCTGATAGGTTGAAATTTATTTCCTATTCCTAAGCATCTAAAGCCTGTTTTATCAACATTGATTACTTGGTCGATTAATTATACTGGTCGTAACCATATTCCGTAATTTGCAAGAATTGACCAACCGATTGAAATTTTTCTTACGGATAAGTTTACTACTATTTCTATTTTCGTCAGATTATGTAGATCTCAGTATCCTGATTGGCTCATCGGCTTAAGTTTATGCTTTACGCTTATTGTAACAGAAATTTTGTCTGCGGTAGCCCTAATTACAGTCGAGTATTTCCCTCTCATTTGATTGTAAAAGGAATACGGCATACAGTTACGGCCAATATAAATGATTCCTAACCGATATTGGTGAAATCGATCCTAGGTCTACTCGCTGAGCAATTAAACATGATTGGTTTGATCCACAAGTATAAGAACCAATCGTACTCATTTGCTCGTCAAGTAGACTTAGCCGCTTTGCCGACTTAAACTCACCCTAACTCGCCCTTAGTGAACTAGGAATGGGCTATTATACCGAAAATATCGAAATTGTCGATATTATATCAATATGTATCGCCGGTTTAAATACCGATACAACTAAATATCAGTGAATAAAATATCGCAATATTGGCAATCACGAATCATGTTTTTTAGCAAAAAATTATAACACGTTCTTTGTATAATTATATTTTTAATTAATTTTATAAACTTAATTACATTTACATTAAAAACTTTTTCGGAACTAAAATAAAACGTTATGTTTTGTATAACAGATATACAAAAGTGATAGATAAAATAATAAGATTATAAAATAATAGCAAATTAGCAAGTTGTGTACAATTTACGATTGAAACTATCCGAAGTTTTACTTGTATCGAATATCGATACAATGTAAACTTAGCATCGATATTTCAAAATATCGAAGTCTAAAATATCGATATCTCAACTCAAAAATATTGATATTATGGAACATCGTCGCTATATCATCATCTCTATAAGCGCAAGTAAACATTAGAGACGTAAACAAAGCGTGTGCAAGACTAAAGGCTCTAAAGAAAATGAAATTGTCCAAATACATTCATTTAACGTATTCCCAAGAGAATTTAATAGACTTTTTAGTTGAACATCATTTATTAGTAGCTACAATGAATTGTGATAACTGTAAAGAAATTATAGATTTAAATGAAGAAACACTACTATTTGTATGTAAAAAAAAAGCCACTACTGAAAAAGAAAGTAATAAAAAAAGTCTAAACACAATATGTAATTTTAAGAGAAGTGCCACAAAGGGAACATGGTTTGATAGGCTCGACACAGATCTGCAAATAATATGCAGACTCACAGCATATTTTGTTATGGTGCCACGTACACGGCAAAAATTTTTGCGTTACGAAACTGGTTTATCAGTACCTACAATTAATGAGTGGATAAAATATTGTAGAGAAGTAATATGAATATATCTATAATTATAATGTGTAATACATAAATATGTACAATCTAAATTATATTAATATGATAGGTATGTGTATACTGGGCGAAAAAGCGCAGTCAAAAGCTTGGAGGTCCAGGAATGACTGTCGAAATCGACGGAGCAAAAATTGGCCGAAGAAAAGGTTGTGATGTGACTAAAAAAATTAAAGGTGACTGGATATATGGTGGCTTCGAACGGGAAACGAGAAGAATTTTTATTGTACCAGTAGAAGTTGGAACAAAAGAATCATTGTTAAAAACGATAAAGGAATGGATAAATCCTGGAACAAGTATCGTTACACATTTTTGGAAAGCTTACAATTGTCTTAACGACAAAAGCTTCAAAAGCCTGAAAAGAAAGCATTCATATAAGTTCATTGATCCCAAAGCTGATAAAATAGCAGATGGTAAATATATAAATTTGAATTTCAGTAGTTATATCAAAGTATCGTATTTATTTTGATTTATAGACACACATATTCGAGAGATTGAATCTTGTTGGAGAGAAGTTCGAGCACATATGCCAAGACCTGCGTCCTATTCTCTTCAGTGTTTCAGTGAATATCTTTTTAAACGCGTGAATGAGTTAGATGTACGTATAGAAACATTTTTTGATATTATTGCAGAAATGTATCCACCAAAACGTTGAACATTACAAACGTTACAGCAACATCATGAAATATAGATTCCATGTCTTATAGATATTATAATTCACATTGCTTCAATATTGATTCAATGTATATGCCATGTAGATTTAATTGATTATTATTCAATAATGAATATTATTCAACGTCATATATTTATTCAACGTCCATTCAATGTATAAGCAGAGATTAAATGTAGATTTAATGTCACATTAAGTACATTTCATATTTTCAAAAAAATTAAATAAACCTGTACGCAAAAATTAGTTTTTAAATTGTGGAAATAATTTAAGAAATAATATTGCTTTTTTTTATTATTTATAATTGATTCATTTACTTTTTTTAAAAAGTACTATTTATTTATAGATATAAAAGTATATTTTGACATACCAGAAGAATTTTAAATAATAAAAAAAAGAATCAATATTATTTTTAAAATTAAATTTTCCCACAATTTAAAGAATAATTTCACACATTTATTTTATTCAATTCTTTTAAAAATAAAAAATGTACATAATATAAAGGTAATTTTAAATCTTTACAAAATTAAGAATCGTTTTATGTAATTGGTTTTGCTTTTATTGCTAAAGTAAATGTGTATGCATGTGTGCGTGTATGTATGTGTGTGTGTTTTTAAAATTTATATTTTGTGTATTATATGATTATTACACTTATATTCCACTTATATTTTGTAATTGTAAAATTTTCTATTAAAAATATTATATTATTATAATGCACAATTTGTAATTTAATCTAAAAATACCTAAATAATATCTAAAACTTAATCTATTTAATTATTGTCTATCTTTTACTTTTACTAATCACTTCATCGCTAATCACAGCAAGTTTTCCAAATAAAGTTACTTATGTTATAGCAACATACTTTCCAGCTAAATAGGGTGAGTTCACTATACATGAAGAAGTATGTTCAGAATGTAATTTTTTTCATATAATAAGACTTTGTTATCAGGCAGTATTTTCAACAATTTATAATAATAATAATAAAATTGTACGTGACTATTTTGTATGTCTTGATTACTCAATAAAATTATAAATACAATTATGAGATTAATTTTATAGCGAGATTTGTTAAATCATAAACATGTACCAGACGAATATTTAAATTTTCCCAAAATAAACCCCATATGAACAAACTTTATTCTACATTTTAGACTTTTGCGTTATACATAACTTCGAAAACCGGTTAATCACGTGCATGCTGCATGTAATTTCATCCCGAAGAGATAATAAAATCTCAAGAACATTTAAAATAAAATATACGTACTCGATGCTTCTTATATCCTGCAGTTAATAATAACCTCGCGATCGAGCAGAGCCAGCAAAATTCAGTTGAATTCTACACACGAGACGACAAACAGCGGACACACTAGACATGATGGTACCATAGATGATACTATATATATAAGGTCTATTTTTTATTCCTGCATGCTCTGAACTGGTGCACTAAGTTAAAGTGCAATAAGTTGAAGTGAAATAAATGGAAATTTGTTTCGTTTCAACTTATTGCATCGAATGTATTTGTTCAGAGAGTACAAGAATAAAAAAAACTGATCTATGGTATAAAAATATAAGGGCTGCGTTTGGGAAGCACGTTATCAACGCTATTGTGTCATACTATCCTTGTTTCACGTTTAATGGACGATAAAGATAGAATGATACAATAGTGTTAATAGTGTCCCTCCAAACCCAACCATAAGGTTCCATTGTGCATAATAACGTCAGACTAAACCAGAACAACCAATCAAATGCTTGCCCCAAAGTTAATGGTGCAGTATGCACATGATAGCAATGGCTGCGTTCAGCAGAGAAAACTAATCAGTTAGCGTTTAGTGATTCTTTAATATGATTGGTTCCTACACTTAAATCTAACGAAGAACTGAAGGCAAAAATCAATCATATTAAAAAATTACTAAGCGCTGATTAATTTTCTCTGCTGAGATTGGACCATTCCTCTTGATCTAAAAGCATAACCCAATCAGCGCGAAGAAAACTTCCAACAGTTGCAAAATAAACGTTCTGCTGAACGCAGCCAATGGCTGCGTTTAGAGCCCATTCTACATTAGACGCAAGCTGATCGCCAGTTTGTTGCGACAGCCAATCTGAAGCTTGCATTTTGAAATCAACGCTTCATATTGGCTGTCGCAACAAACTTGCAATTAATGTAGAACCGTGGCTTAATGTAGAATGCAGAGAAAGCAGCTTTGCAACTGTTGTAAAATTCTTCAATATAAAATTCTTCTGTATTCCAAAATTCACTGCCAGTACTGAAAATCTATAGTACACGTAACGTAAATTGTAGCATTTTTAATGCAGGCAGTAAATTTAGAACACGGCCATGATTGGTTTAAATTCGTAAGCCTGTTCTACAATAAAATCGCAAGTTGTAAAAAATTGATCAATTGAATACAATAAAAATCGAATATGATAATTAATTTCTTACAGTCTACCATTATATTTAAAGTCTATTGTAGAACAGGTTTTATACTATAGTTCTAATTAGCGACACTTTTGTCTTTAGTCTTTTGTCTTCAATTTTTCCTATAATCCTATTGGACATTGAACATCGTACGTCAGATGTTGTATGCTACGTGAAATATGAATCCTACATAAGGAACAGCCAAAAGTGAAAATACATTACTCTTTTTTTTTGCTCTTCTGCACGCTAGGCTGCTTGTTTTGATCGTATTGATCCTTTCTATCTCTCTAGAGGTGCCATTAATCCAAGAACCAGAAGATGTGCACGTGTACTTGAAGGAGAAGACGAAAGGTTACAAATATATAGTTTATCTGAAAGGAATCGAAACAAAAAATAGATTCTTGGACACGCGTTGAAATCTTGAAAAAAAAAGGAATCAGATCTGTCAAATCAGATTGACAGGTCGTCATTGAGTATGGCCATGTTGCGACAAGTCAAACCAGCATACGGACTCTTCAACGAAAGAGTTATCTTTCTGCTTCGAGGTAATGCTATTCCATCTTTTAGAACATTCAACTCTTCGACGGTATTCGCGAAACAACAACAACAACAAGAATCAGAGAGCAATAACGAAGTAAAGGAGAATAATAACGACAGGCTTGGCGGTGATAAGAGACCGTCTATTGACGAGGCGACGATCAGGAGGCTCGAAAGGTTGGCGCTAATCGGCTTTGAATTCAAGCAGAGCAAGCGAGTGCTGGAGGAAGCGATAACTTTCACCGAACGGCTACGGACGACTCGTATTGACGAGACGGTACGTCCGATGTACAGCATCCTGGAGAACAATTGCATTCATCTGCGGGACGACGTGGTACAACACATCGATCGGCGTGAGATACTGAGGAACGCTGCGGTGCTAGAAGAGGAATACTTTGTTGCGCCGTTAACGACGAGCAAAGAGAAAAAAAGTGAATCTGAACAATGAGTCTAGAAGCTGTACTAAAGACTGTCGGGTCGCATTTCCTCAGTCTGTCTGAGCGAATGTTTATATATGGACCCCAGGGCAAGCTGGTGCTGAGGAATCTCGAGGAACACTGGTTCTCTCACTGTGTTACAATGCCGCATTATAACGTGTTCCCATGTGATACAATCGCAGATACATTGCAGCAACTGCGAAGTAATTCAATGGACATGCTGCCATTTGCACTTGTCACACTGGGGACATCCAAGAGCGTATGGAATGAGTCTTTGCTGTCAGTGAGTAAGGTACTATCTCACAAAATCGCCAAGATTAATGTGTTCGTTGATGCGTCGGACTCGAAGGATCTACTGCATAAGAAGCAAAGAGAGCGCAAAGTATGGTGGCGCAAACTTGTCCAGCATCCCTCAAGATTCGTCCTCGCCGAAGCAAAGAAGACAAGGAATCTGGATGTGACGGAGATAGAGGCGCAGTTTCCTTTTGGAAATATCATCGTGGAAACAATCACCCATTATCCCGGCATACGCAAGTTGTATCCTCAGGTATAACGCTTTCTTATTGAAATATTGGTAGCATTATGAAAGACAGAGAGAGAATTATTTAAATGGGATATTTATTTACAGACTGAAAATAATAAAGATAATGTTATGGATGTGCATATGATCGAGCATATCGCTTCCATGGATTGGGGCTGCTTGGCGTTATTTTGTGACAGCCATATGCTGGATAAATCAACTAGAGCATATATTCATCCTAAGTTATGCCCATACAAAATCACGTTCCACATAGGAAAACAGGAAAATGAGACTGATTCAGATATAGAAGATTTGAATCGCTTTGTGCTATACTTAAACAATATGCTTAGGACGAGAGGGATCTCTACCATATTGACAAATACAGAACAAATCGTAGAAATGTGCCTAATACCGTACGTCGTGTCAGTGGATAAGACTAGTCTTAAGAATGGCGTTGTACATGTAAAAAATCGATCAACGACGCTTAGTGAGGCAGTTCACATTACTGACTTGGTAAAGTATATTAGTTTGCGTTCTTCTTGAATTACCGTAGTGGCAATTCAATTGGATTTTTCGATCAATGTTTATAAGATATTGCTATCATGTAACTATATTTAATTAGTAACTATATTTATTACTGACAATTACAACGATATAAACTGTAAATATAAATGAAAATTCTGTTCTATGTTCTCTCCTCTTTTATCCCTATTTTGTTTCTGAATTTGAAGATAAGTAGCTACTAATTCAATCTTATGTGGTAATATACATTTTTTTTTAATGAAGTACGCAAAATAAAATAGTAAAGACAACTTAGATTTTCTGATCCTGAAAAGGAGACGCAACGCATGGCATCATACGAGGGATGATGGAAGGAAGGAAGAAAGTTTGCGGAAAGGGATGCCAGACAATTCATACTTAGTGGAAACGTGCATCATCTTGCACATTTCACAAGCCTCGCAGGATTTCCCGAATTTATCTCAAATTGGCGATGCCACAGAGACAGTTGAACAATTCTCCGATACAAGAGGATAATACTCTCAACTGAAGCTAAGCAGGTAGTTGTAGCTTCTTGCCTTTGAGTACTTTGGTAATATAGAGGTAGAAAAAGTCACAATAGAGAACTGTCTGCACCAATCCAGCAACTATAGCGATCAAGTCGTAATGATCTTCAGCATAGTAGCGGTAGACCCAGTTAAACAGGTACAGGCCTCTGTATGATCCCAAAGCGAACAAATAATGGCTGGTAATGCTTTCTGCCTCGCCCGTTTTCGATACCAGAAACAACTGCGGTAATATTGCCACTGACTCTAGATAAATGCTGAATGTCCACAAGACCTCGATGAAGGACAGTTCGTGATTGATCAGCAGTGATAGTATAAATGCTGGTAAAATTAAGAACTCGATTCTGAAACAAGAAAGTTCATCGTCATCACATTCCCAATGAAGATACCAACTGAGGAATATCATTTTAGGTCTGATCTTTTTAATTAAACTTGCACCATTCATCTTCTTTGATTTATGACTGTTTCTACCAACGTTAAAAACTTCTCAGTTCAATTTACTTTTTATCTTTTCTTCATTTTTAAAATTAAAAAAAGATAGTTGAATTGAGATTAAAATTATAATTATATTGATAGAAATAACATTAGGTACAGTTCCATCAATGTAAGAGTAACTTTAATCAATTTAATTTACTATTTATCTATAATTCTTAGAATTTACTATTTATCTATAATTCTTAGAATCAGAAAAAGCTAAAGAATAAATTGAACCGAGATGGAAATTAATCTTAACATTGATGAAACTGGATGCTCATTTCTATCAATGTAGATCAATTTTAACTTTAATTTAACTTATTTTTTATCTTTCTGATTCTGCGAACCAGATAAGAAGTAAGTTAAATTGAGATTAAAGTTAATCTATGTTGGTAGAAATAGGCATTAAAGAGAGAGAGAGAGAGAGAGAGAGAGAGAGAGAGAGAGAGAAATCTGGTTTATGGAAGTCATCTGTTCTTTTTAGCTGAACTTGCAATTTTCTCTTTTTTTCCCCCAATGTGAAAAGAAAAAGAAGACAAACCTTGCAAAGTTTAGCTAAAAAGAACAAGCTTTGTCTTATGTCATAACTTGTAAATAAAGTTTAACACAATGCTTTCGTTCATAACAATCACATGAACAAAAGCATCAAAATCATTATCTTGGAGTTTATTGGTTTTCATTCAAACCAGATTAAAAGGAGAAAAGATAAATCATGTAAGAAGTTGAACTAAAAAGAACAGGCCTATGGACAGATTTTGGAATATTTTTTCTTACCTGAACGTGTCATGATTATGATCATATGTAGCTTTGAACTTAATATACATCAAGAAAACCGTGGCGAGAGATGCGGCAATGAACACGATTTTCATGAATGTGTTGTATGCCGAGATAAATGTGGTGAACAGGTCTAGATAACGGGTAGTATAAACAATCGCGAAGAGGATCTGTGATTTGCCGCTGATACCTGTGAACGTTGAAACATCGATAATCACTGTCTGTTGAAGATGAGCATTTATCAGCATTCATTCGTCACAATTTATTAAACTCATCACGAACACATAGCATTCCTTGAACGATATGATCAAGGTGATCCGACTCACCGGCGCAGCTCCGTGTCTTCCATATCTTTACGAGTAGTATGATAATGGCTAAAAGATGCGATAGATCGCCCAGCAATCGGAATATATTCATGTCTGCGGCCGCGGGATGTGACTTTACGTAAAAAAAACCCGCGGGGGAAGATAAAGAGCCAGCTCGCAGCTCGTTCGACAGCGGCACACAAATATGACGTGGCTCTGGCTGTGGTTACAGCAGATGGCTGACCCCACGGAATCAGATTGAACACTCCGGTTCCGATGTTGACATCGAATCATCAGGAGAGCAAGAGAGACATCTGGAGAGGGAGCCTGCATCGATTTTTTTTACTATGTGAATTGACGAGTCTAGGGAGTCGATTCTGTGTCTTGAAACGAGATGAAAATTACAAAAGTGAGTGAATTTACTAGAATACTAATTTTATTCATCAACATCTAGTAAATTTGCTCACTTTTGTGATTTTCATCTTGTTGAAGATACAGAATCGACCCCTAGGAATTCTGGAGCGAATTTAGTAACTTATCAGTTTGATCTAGAGAAAGTATCGATGCGACTGACCGGCGAATCATGTTAGTCAAAAATTTTGCTTTGATTTGTGATTCGCCGATTGAATAATAGTGGTTTCCACTGGAAAAACTAGTCCAATATTGGGTCTCATTCACCAACCTTAAAATAAGCTAAACTTTGGTTAAAAGTTAGTTAATTATGAGTTGTGAAACTGGGCCTAAAATGAGGCCATGTAACCGTCTATTAACTTAATCGAAAATCGTTGGTGTAAGAGATCCATTGTTACAAATCAATTATATTTCCAGTGTTAATAAAGAATTTTTTTAAGGCTAGAGAGAGAGGTTATCGCGACAACAAAGAACATGTAATTAAAAGAGTTAAATTATTTATTAACACTGACAATGGGTGTTAAATTCAAGTGTTACATTTAATTACTCCAGTGTGCTCTAGTTTTTCAATGGAAAATGCTGTGTGCAATTAAATGCAAATCAATTCATATATTTTTTATGTTATTAATAAGTTTAATCCTTTAATTCTTTAGCCCGTTTCTACCAATGTAGATTACTTTAATCTCAGTTCAACTTACTTTTACTCTTTATCTTTTTCTAATCTTTATCTTTTTCTAATCTTTATCTTTTTCTATCTTTAGCTTTTCTCAGAAAAGGAAAAAGATGAAGAGTTAATTAAACTGAGATTAAAATTAAACTACATTAGTAGAAACAGGTCTTTGTTGTCAATAATCTTTCTCTCTCTCTCTCTCTCTCTCTCATAACCTTAAAAAAAGTAAACTATTTATCGATGAAGTGCAAAAAGTACGAGCAACACAAACGGACCTACATTTCCATCAATTTCCTCGTATCCCGCTCTAGCAGTGCGCATGTGCAACAGATTTGCTTCATAACAGTGGTGGGGCTCAACGTTTTGTAACGGTAGAGGAACGGTGGGAATGGTCAACGGCAGTGCAGAGCTGGGATTGCTGGGAAGTTATAAGTTCTGCTGACGCAGGTCGCAGCAGGCGCTGGAAATGGTTGGAGGTCTTTTGCGCGAGCTCCTGTGAACCACAGCAAAATGGCGACGTCCGACTCTAAAGCGTCTTTGCGGACAGTGAAACGCGTTCAATTCGGGATCCTTTCGCCCGACGAGATTGTAAGTAGACTATATGAACTTGCAATACTTCCGAGGCAGAATTCGCGAGAAGTGGAACTCCTTTCAGGAATTACATGGCGCAATCTCGCGCAACGTCCCATATCTACCCGTAGTACATTGATCTCTCGCGGATTTAAATGTACAAACGTAGCTTCCTCGATAGTTTTTACGTCGGAACATTTCTCGTAGATGTTATGGGACTCATGACAATTGATTT